GGTGAAACGGTTTTCTGGAAAACTCTCTTCACTAAGTTTCTTTAGAAATTCTGGCTCATACTATATTCGATAGAGATTTTCAAGGGCTTTCCAAATCACTATTTAGATTTTACCTAGCTGTTCGTTTTTGTGGAAAAACTTCAAAAATAAAAGGGGTCTTATAATTTTGGTACACCCTGTAATAAAAAGAAAGTTTAATCAGCTTTACCTTGGCAAACAGGAGAAGTGGATAGAGCCGTCCCAGGATTGATTGTGTTGTTGGCAAACGTATAACTTCCTTTCCACACGTCGAACGGTAAAGAGGTTATTAAATTATTCGTTTATTGCGTGTCACTCATTTTAAATGCAAAGAGTATTTGACAAGGAGATTGCAAACCTAGGCCGAGTAATTTGTGTCTATACTATCACCATTTCGAATAGTACCCTCATAACTAGATTGACCGGGAAGTATTTTGATGTGGACAACCTTAGTTTCGTTATTATTAGCAACGCCAGCATGAACAGCAGCAGTAGCAAGATTCGAGTCATCCGTGTAAATATCGGTACCCCACACAGATCCCACAATGGTACCTGTAACAATAAAAGAATACATATGGCCAACTTTATTACGATAACCACTAAGATTTGGTGAAGATATTTCATAAGTGACTGGATTTTCAACAAATAAATAACTTCCTGCCCATGCGCCATACGATACAGAGGTTATACCATTTTTAAGAGTGCCTCGATAACTGAATTGACCTGGAAGAATTTTGACAGTGATGGTTTTGGTTTCGCCATTTTTAACAACTCCTGCGTGTACAGCAGTAGTTGCCAGGATTGAGTCATCCGTGTAAACATCTGTACCCCAGACAGATCCTCGAGTAGTACCAGTGACCACAAACGAGAAAGTTTCACCAACTTTATTACGGTAAGCGATAAGATTTGTAGGTGTGTCGAGAGCACTATTTTCTATGTTTAAAAAAACACATTACTAGACATTGAAATGATTTTATTTTTATCTTTGTGCTGTTTATCATCTATTCGGCTGCTAATGAGCATTGTATAAGAAATTTTCGGTTTTTGGTAAGGTGTTTTTTGCATTTAGACACAACAAGAAACGTTTCTGTGTAATACAAAAACAAAAGCGTGAACAAACTAAATTTTTACTCAGTTATATTAAATTCAAAAATTCATTTCGTGCTTTAATACATGTTAATTTTTCGGTTCATTTCTAGATGTATTTGGTTTGGTACTCTGAATTGTGTACCATTCCAAAGGTGCAAAATATTTAAATATCATCCATGACCCACGAAATCGAAGATCTTTTTTTTGACTGTTTTAACAATGAGTGAACTGTTTATTTAATAGAATAATCACGCTGAAGTGTTTCATGAGATATGAAAAAGTGCATCTCTATTGTAATTTTAGCATATTATATATAATAGCCGTGATCATATCACAAAATCTGTTGCAATAGTTAAAAGATACACTTGTACGAAACTTCGAGATGATTTCGATGTTGTTTTGACTTTTACAACCTTTTAAATCTCAATGTAGCTTATATCCTATATCAATCAATGATTAAGAGCTAGAACACTTTTGTTCATCTATTTTACAAATCATGCTGGCATATGATGATGAAATCGATGACATACTTAGTTGATTCATTTCGTCTGTCTGTGTCGTTTGTAAACTTGTACTGAACGAGTTTATTTCAACAAAAGGTGGTGTCACCAACAGGAATGAAGGATTGATTTCTCTGATTTGTATAATATGAAGTCCTACTTCTGGACTAATCTGATCGATAACTTCAAAGTAAAATCCAGGTAAGAGAATAATTTCCTCTTCTGGACCAAAGTAAGAATGAAGTGAAATTGATTTTCCATTGAGACATTCGATGGCGAAAACTGCTCGATCACCTGTTTGACCCAGATATTGAGTAGACTGAAGAAGTTCAAGACTGGTTAGACATGAACGCACTCCCCACCAAGCAAGTTTTTTTCCTTTGGGATACTTTGAGCTCAAATCTATATTTCGTGCACCACACCAAACCGTTTGTGCATGAGATGGAAGTTTATGTAAAGCTGTAAGAAATAGTTTAAGCAGTTTAAACCAAGGTCTGAGATCTTGCCGATTCTTAGCTCGAAGTGCTTGGTTGAACACTTCGTAAAGACTAGGCCCATCGCAAAAGTTCATGGTGTAAAGATGGATAGCTGCTGATTCATCTTGAGTAAGACCTTCTTTAGGTTGTATACAATTTTCTTTGGCCACCCATGCATTTATTTCGATTCCTATAAAAAAATGTGCAATTGGTTCGAGAGTTTTTTCTAGTGGCTCAAGCGGCTCATCTTGGTAACCGTTAATGGACGCAAGAAGTAGTGAGACAGGTTCCCCATGTAGATCGGTAAAGCGTGTGATGGTAAATGGCATGTATATAGAATAATGTGAAATCTTTAATAGAAAAGTGCTTTAGTTTTCGTGTGATTCTCATATACATCAAATTTAGAAATTAAAAACAAAAAAAACTTGTTAAGTTACGAAGTTCAATACAAGAGAAGATTCCACGCAATACACATATACCAGAAACCTTATCTGAAAGGTAGTCAGGCAAGTGACAGAAATAGAAGTTTTCAGACAAGGGGTAGTTAAATATTACTTGACTGATGGAATTTAACTTCAGAGAAATAATATCATGGATTATCTCAATTGATCATGCTAAATAATTCGAAAACGCCTTAGGAAATTGTATCAGGAATGATAGATTTTCTCTCGAAAAACTTCAACAAATATTTCCTATGTCAGCTACTAAAGATCAACGTCTAAATTCTCGTCGGAGTGAGGTGTTGGTATAGATCTTTCCTTCTTTGACTCTCATAAAGAGTTTCAGTATTGTATTTAGTGAAATACAACACATATTCTAAAAGAGGAGTAATCAGAACGTCTGTCTATGGTAAAAGGTCAATTCTTACTTTTTCGAAAAACTTGAATTTTGCGAAGACTCATAAGGAAAAACAACAACAAAAAATAATGTTATTTTACTCCCCATCGTTCTCCTTATTATCTTAGGTAACCAGTAGTGGAAATAACTATCATTTTTGTCAGTCCATTGCTATTTTCTATTTTCTGTTTATTTTTTTATTCTCGGATACTCTTTTATCTTCAGAATCAAAATGCAACGATGATCTCAGTATACTTACGACCAAAGCAACACTTGAATATACGTATAAGGTTGTTTTTTCTGCTTGATTAGTGATCGGCTGTGTCATGTATATGTCGCTGAAAGAAAATTACTTGGTTTTTTCCAGCGAACATTTTTTTTTACCTGTATAAAAAGAATGTACTCTCTTTGATGATGAAGAAATTATGCGCAAATGAAATACGCTACGTCATCAATCATATTCTGTTCTTTCACGAGATTGGCTCTCTCTATCGTTTTTCTTTCTTCGTTTACGTTGTCGCTTTTTTTTAGAAGCAAACATATGTTGATATCACCCAGTATAGCGCCATAGCGATTGAATCCGTTAACACTTGTCGTCATAAAAAAAGATAAGAGAACCCGACACTGCCAATTAGTAACCAACATGGTTAGCACAATTCATCAAATGTATTTAGTCCCAGCTAAGAAGTCGTTGAAATCTACTCTGTGGATTGATACAAACGTCCATATCTTCGAGGATCAAACAAAACAGTGTGTCTTTATTATTGACAATCGTACGAGCAGCTGTTTGTGACTCGATTGCAAAGTCTTGCGTGACTATCGAATCGTAACCAAAGAAAAAAAAAGATTGTTCGATAATAATTTTCATGTTAGATCTGAAAAAATAATTATATTTGACCCTTTGTATTCAGAATTTTCTTATCTTCACCGTGATGTATACAAGTCAAGAGTACTATGATACATAGCAAAGAAAACTGCGATACATTCATCGTGACCAGAAAGTTTCGCCGCTGACTTTGACTATAGGATGTGGATGTGAGTGGGTACAGGTTTACATTTGGGTTTGGGTATAAAAAACCGACATTCACATCTAAATAGAAGGATAAATTTCACATCGCTTGCACAACTCTGGTCATTGTAGGTGGAAATAAACCCATAATTAGTTATGATGTTAATCTATCAGAGTTAATTAACAGAACATTCATTTTCTCAAATAGATACATGGACACATGTAAGAGACGAATAAGTTATTATCTCTTCTCTTAGCATCTATGTTAATATGAACATTTGGATGTGGATGTTCTTATTCTCTTCATTCTTCATCCATAACAACACACCCACATTCATGATAAAGGCAAGTAGGACGTAAACCAAATAAAATTCATATATTCATACGAACATCTAGCAGATCAATGTCAGTCGCAAAAATAAACGTTTTCATTGTGATCATCAACATATAGCATCATTGAATATAGTATTCATTTTATCGACATTATTCAAAGTAATTACTTCATATGAAGAAGAAAGAACAATTGAAAATAGAAAATTTTGATATTAAATTTTTCAACCAAAATTTTTCTATGATCTCGATCTAAATAGATAAAATCTTATTGAATTCTGCTCCTTGATTTGCAATATTCTTAAGGATGGCAATGCTTTTCATTAAATATGGCAAGAAAAATTAATAATCTATTCAACGATAATATTTGACACTCAAAATTTTTAGAGAAACTCAGCTTTATTTGCCATCCTGAAAATTTACCTAAAATATTCGTTCATGATCTCGTCTCATTATTTAAATTGAAGAAAAATATTTCAAATACAAGAGAAATGGTGTGGGTCTGACAGTATACCTTGTTTTTTCTTCACACTCACACTCTAGTATTGCTAATTAAAGACGAGCTGAACCACGCAACACCAAATCGATGTGCCGATCAACTTGAATTTGACGGTTCTCATTTGGATACTTCACTCGATGGTTATATCCTAAGCATCGATCTGTCTCTAAAAGTTTATTATCTTTGATTGAGACAAATTAAGATCAATTATGATAATGATAGTAAATACATCCTTTTACTAATATTCAAACAACTTGTAGTAGTTGACTATTTACGTTCATCACATTGTAAAGTGAACTATCGATTATTTGAACGTCTTTTCTAATCATCGAGAGCTTTCCAAATATTGAGCATTTTCTTGTTTCACTCACTTCTTTCAGACGTCAACTTCAATGTTTTCGTCGCATTTGTAAAAGAGATAAAGTTAGATGGGAATATCTGACATTTGTCATCTTACTGTTCAATCAAAGAATTTGACTCTCTGAAGAGAATGTTTGACTTGTTTTTCTTCAAATTTATTTTTATATCCAAAATTCCCAGTTTTGACCAAAATATTTATTTAAAAGTCAGATCTAAACACAAGTAACAAGGTCTCGTTTGAATATTTATGTTTTCTTTGTTCAACTCTCCTATGAACTATTGCTATTCTATGAAACAACACTCACCAAAGGGAGAACATCAAGTAATCAATATCGACATCTTTCAGCTCTGCATATGTCAATTTTGTATATAGTTAAATATTCTTTTAGAGATTTTCAATGGTTACTGTTTAGATAGAAACGGTTTGATGATGAAATCAAAATGACAGAAGAGTTTTGGTCTTTTCTTTGTCAAAATAGGTTTTCTTCAGTTGGCGAGGAAGATGTTTTTAACCTTCGTCTTCCATTAGAAGCATAAAGCAGCTACCTTAGATTTGAAGATTTAAATGAACGTCGAAAAACGATTTTAAGTAGCCTACAGTCTATGAAGAAAATAAGAAGATAAATAACTTTAGTAGGAAGCAGAACTTCATGAAATTCATTCGTTTAATTTTCGAGTTTTTGTCGAATAATAATATTTTCACAGCTTTCTTCCATACAAATGTGTTTTTTAGTGTAGTTACATCAACTTTAAGACATACTGAAGCTTAAAAGGATTTATACTAACTGGAAGTTTTGATTTTCGTCAGCGACAATTATTTAAGATATTTCTTTGGCAAAGAAGATTGATATCACAAGAATATATGCCAGATATGCATATTTGTTTTATATCGAAATCGGAATTTTCTTCGTTTTGAACATGTTCTTTCGACTCATTCACTCACCGTGAGTGAATTGTGTGAAAGATCGCTAGACATAGAATAAAAGCTGTTATTTCATTTACTTGAAAGAAATCGTTCTCACATTCACGAGTTTCTTCATCGTCAGACACTTCTCAAATGAAGATCAAGTAAGGGACGGAAATACTCTCATAACAAATATCGATGCGGTGTTTGTCTCGGATCAGATATGAGATGAATGTTCAATTTCATCGAAACTCTCCCAGGTATCTCTTAGTAAGAGAAAGCGATTGATGATCAATATAACTTGCTATATGTTTAATAGCAAAAACAAGCACACCCAATCTTATACTAGCGATTGTAGTGTGCACGAGCAGTAGAACACAAGAAAGACTTTTAAAACGACAAAAAAATGACTTGCTAAGAATGAGGGTGTGACTATTTTTCTTTTCTATCCTAAGTTTCATCGATTTGATCTGTCGGATTGTATATCTTATGTTCTCGTGTTTATTTCTCCTGAAATGTGTTCAGAACCGAATTTAATGAAAGAAAAGAGTTGATCACTCGGTACAAAACAAAAAAATGATATTTTTTTTTGCCGAAACACATGGAAAAATCTCTTTTTCACCACGAAATGTATACTTTTGCTACAATTATCTTTGAGTTGTCTTAAATTTTGTCTTCTAGTAACAAGAGATGAAAGAGAGGGACCAGAGTATCAGTTAGTACTTATCTAGTCTCATCTACGTATATGAATAGCATATCACTATCGTTCATTTTTTAAATAATGTCAACACTTTTGTATTTGTATATCAAGGAGTCTATAATTTTGCCATACTCTGTAATTTCTTTACTGAAGGATAACAACAACAGCATCTTTTTGTTATTATTATTAATGTAAATTTGATCTCTTTTGTGTATGCGCTGATGCTAGTACGAAGAACGTAGAAATGAACTGCAAAGACGAGTCAACGTTTCAAAGCTAATAAAAACAAAAAGAGAAGAAATATTGATTGTTCTGTCTTGAATAAAAGCTCTCCTGCTGAAGCTTGGATATTATCTCTGAGTTTTTCCACTATGTGAAGGCTTTATCACAAAATAATGTTTCCTTCCGGCAAAAGAGAGACTTCTATTTAAGAGTGAATTTGTTTTTTTTCTGTCACACGCCATTCTGTTCTATTACAACTCTTGCTATTCCTTTCTTATTCAATCTATATGTTTGTTAGGCTATGATGTCAATTCCAATCTCAGCAAACTAACCATAGAGCTTTTTCGTCGCGTCATCTTATTATATTTAGAGATCATGAATAGATACATATGTTCGAGAAGCTAAGAAGTGTTATTTATGTCAGGATGGGTGATAGTACGCTTCTTGTCTTTCGACGAGTTGCTCGGAATATTTGATGCCAATGTCTGTTTCCAAAAGTAAAAGAAAGAATAAGCACATCGAGATGCACGCTGAAAATTCGGATAGCAAAGTAGTCATGATTAGCTATTCCACAGATGTACTCATGCTTTCGAATGAGATGTTTTTCGGATCGTTGACAAGGTCATGAACAATTAAAGTTGGTAAATCTAACCCCAATACTAATCAAATTCTGCGAGTTTCGATGAAAAACCAATATCTGTATGCGCTCTTTTTGATAGTTTAGTATTTTTCGTACATTTTTCTATCACTCTCTGGCAGGTTATCGGCCGTTTTGTCATGCTCGGCGTATTCATAAAAATCTGTTCTTTGACCTGATGCTGATTTCAGTCTAGGCCTTCGGTGTGAACGGATACTTCTAAAGAAGTTATCAACTTGAAGATGTCCAGTGTGTGTGTGTGTGTGTGTGTGTGTAAAGCTTTTTCATACATAATCATCAAACTTGTCATGTCTAATTTTGAAGGTAGATTTCTCTTTCTCTTCATATGATTAAATCCCGTAATGATATTATTTTATTAGAGAAAATCGATGAAACTTGTATAACTTTCTAGATGACTTAGCGGTTTCTGTCATGATAATGCTGAAAGATAAATAATCAACTACAAAACCACATATCATAAGTCAATCTTTTGTTTTTCTTTTTTAACTTTCACTAGATTGAAGAAAAACTTCTATTATTTCTCTTTGATTAAAAATTTTCTACGTGTTTTCCTATCACATCATTGTCAAAATCAGCCACCTCATTTCAATTTGATTTTATTCATTTTTTTGGCCTTAATATATTGCCTGAATTGCTATTAATCGGCGTCGATTGTGCATCTTTTGATCATATATCTTCTGGCAAGTCTAATTAACATCATCTTGTCAAATGTAGTCTCATATTAGCCTGTGTCACTCTTCTGTTTAAAGTGATTCTAATGTATCCACTTTACGCATGTTTGGTTTTCTATGAGGACACTAGTGGTGAGTTCATGCACTTTCTGAATTCAAATTTAATTCTAATTCTGAATAAAAAGACATCACTTTTTTCAATTCGAATATCTTCGATGCCACTCCTTTTCATAAAAGATGCAATAAGTTCATGACTGTCAAACACCTTGCGAACGAAGACTTCACGAATCGACTCTCTTGCAAACACTAGTCGCATCTATTATTCTCATATGGTTTTCTCAGGTACAATTTATCAAATCTCTTGTTCCGACTGTAAGATTACCAGCGGTCCGTGTTCCATCTAACAAAGCACATCAGTACATTCTCGTCGTATTAGTCATTCTTTAGAGAATTTTTTGACACTCGAACGATTATGAAAATAAATTGAGAAAGACCACGCATGCAGGTAGTAGAGGATTCTGAAGTGACAAATGTATCACGATTTCACTCCCATTCTCTTGCTTGCCTATTAAGTGCGTGTTTCGCTTTCACCATCATCTCATTCTCAAAATCTGGCTGTAGCAGCAGATACTCACACCGATATGAAAGATATCAGCGTATATAAATTAAAATTAAAATTCTTTTTTTCTTCTGAATTAGAATTAGACGCGGATCCAAATGACAATGGTCGACGTTGTTATCTTCTGGTTACATGGTCATGGCTCATACTCAACTTGAGCAATGTACTATTATTCATCCTACTCTCTATTTCTCTCTATGAAGAGAAATGGGAAAATTTAGTTCGCCAATCACTTCTCCGTGCAAATATTGCTCTGTTATCAATAATACTCGCATTCATGTTGGTGCCCACATTTTTCGGATGTTGTGCTGGCTTAATGATATGTTGTGGCCTTTTGCCTCAAGATGACAAATAACAATCCATTATGAAAATGAGAATATATGTTCTTCAATGCTTTATGTTTCATCTGTATGAAACGTTATTATTATATTTTGTGTACTGATCGTATTTTCGACATTTAAATTTTCGAAAAAATTATTTCAGACTTTTTAGTGATCCTTCATTTGACCTAAAATGCACATTAATAAACATCTCTCCTCTTATAAAGTGATAAAGGCATTTTGTTCATACTGCTCGTGAATAAGAATTGATGATTCTTTGTAGTACCGAACCTGATAAGATATTTGAATTTATATTTTGAAACAGAACACATAGAGAATTTAACAGAAAATCTTTTGCTTGAAAGATGAGGTCTGTGATGTAAGAGAAGTATAGATAAACTGAAGATGGGTGTAGGTGTGAGTATGAATATTCTCTTCAGCCCACACCCATACTTTACAAACATCTAGTTGAGCTTTTAATTAAACTATCTGTTGTTCAATCAACTATTTTATTATCACACAACATATGTCTTTGTAATAGACAGTTATATATATATATATAATGTTGGCAAACATCGAAAATCGATCATTAAGAGATTAGTAATATATATATGGAGATAAAGATGGTGACTGAAGTTGCCGAAGAGTTTCATGATAGGTTTTGTTCTAAAATTTTCGTGACCTTCAACAAATATTTCCGATAAAATTTACTTAGAGACATTTTGCTCTTTTTAACAAAAAAAATGATATAATCTCTACAATATTACATTAGAAAGCTACGTGAAACACAAAATTAATGCAGAACTTTTGCTCGGTTCATTTATTATATATAAAAGAAAGATTCATTTAAACAAAATATTTTCTATAGAATATAAAATTTAATTTGAAAATATTTTCTTCATTTACTTGTTTCTGATGATGAAAGAATAAAAGGATACAGAATACTTAATACCAATTTCAATTGTTGTTAATGTTAATAGTATTAATAGACATGCAAAAATATTATTAATATGGTTTACTTATGTATTTATTTAACCATCAACATATTATGTCCAGTCTATTATAAAACAGCGTCCAATTGTACATAGATCGTTAATTCATATAGAGAAAGTTTGTTTTCTTTAAAACTAACTTTATCATCGGATAATTTGTTATTTTTTTTCTGGATCATTAATAATCGAAATCCAACTAAAAGAATTTTTCGGTCTTTTTTTAGTTTTGTGCATTATTTGTAAGATAAACTAGGAAAAATAATATAAATTAGATCTATATAGATTATGTTTTCCAAATGATTGTTCTATTTTACTCGTAACCAAATGGTCACTAGTCGACTCAATGATTTAGTAATAGAGAGATTGACTATATACTGTTTTGCTGAGTGTATATATGTATTATCTGCGATACCACTAAAAGCAATATTCAAAAGTGAAAATTGTCCAGTGAATAAATCAAGTAATGAAAATTTTACATTTCCTATGAAAATATTCGAAATTAATTTTCTAAATTCATGATTGGAACAATAAAACCAGTTCGCAAAGGGAGATCTCCTCGGTATAATGATTACATCTCAGTAAAATAATTGCACTAATTCGTTCCACCCTCTCTAGATTCATATCGGTGTTTGTCATCACAAAAAATAACAATCAGTTTGATCTCTGATATTAAAAAAAAATGATCAAAGGACTATATTTGAAGAAAATTATAAGCTACCAAAAATTACTGTTAAGATACATTTCAATTATCTTGAAATAAGTATAAAGTTAACCTTTCATTACTAAATGAGGACTTTTCATTTTTTACAAAAGAGGTAGTTCAAACTTCAAAATGTTTCAAAAATCGATATTTTACAAGATGTTCCATATTTTTTTCGCCTGAATAATAACTTATATCATTTCATTTCGATGTAGTATTGCTACGTATATTGTGTGTTGTTCTGATAGGGTAACATTTTATTATAATCGGAAGATAATAAGAGCTTGAAATTGCACGTCTATTCTTATTTGATATTCACACCTCGGTATATAGGCCTGATTATAGATATTGTACAATGATAATATACTTAAGAATACATACGTATAATCTAAAAATGAAAAGTTATGAACCATAGCTTTGTACTTCCTTTATTATTATTTCTAGAATAAAAGTAACAATACTATTAAAAAAGACTCATTAGTTTGATTTCTCATTTATTGCCATATTCCAAAAATCGACTTCGAATCGCATGATATCGTCCCAAAGATGACGTGCTTCTTGTTTGTCATTATCAGAAGCAGTTATTGATGCAACATCAACAATTATTCGAAGTTGTTCAATAAATTGTCCAAATTCTTCTGATCCCCATCTATTGACAAATTCTTGATAATCATGATTTTTAACCGATTTCCATGCTTTATAATAGCAAAGTTCCATAGCATAAAATGCTGTAATCAAACTTAAATACGATTTCTGAGTGTGCATCAATTTATTCAACCAATGTTGATAATTAAGATTAGTAGATAATGGTTTAATATCATTGATAGATATATTTTTCTCTTTTAATTTATTTTCAAACCAACTTAATTCTTCTTCTATTGCTGAAAGTCCTTTAATCAAGAATTTAAAATCTTGTCGAGGAGCATATACAAGCACATGACTACGGAATCGAATATAAAAATTAACAAAAAGATAATCTTGAGCTAGCCATGTATTGAATTGTTCCTGTGTGATTTCACAAGTAGATACCAATTGAATAAATCTATGTTCAGAAGAAGCTTCAGATAATTTATCTTTTGGTAAAGATTCACTAAATGATGACATAATTGAAAACGTGATATTGTTTGATAATTTTGTCACCGTTATAAATATGCAGTAGAGATAAGAAAGACGAAATAAATTCAGTCACGTGTTTTATTTAATTCGTCCTTAGAGTATATAATACGTGGTGGATAACGAAAACGCATATCTTACGAGGGAACATTCCCAAGTGATACGCACCATTTGGGTTCATATTGTGCTCATAAGTAGGACCCAATAAGACTACAAAAAGCCTATAAGAGTTCGTGCCATTAGGCCTTTCTTTCAAAGTTATGACCGTTTTAGTGAATTGTCGACCTTGGGCAAGGAATTTATGGAAAAACTGAATGAAGGAATTTCGAACTGAAATTTTGCCTAACAACAGGTCTCATCGATGTTAGAAGTTTCCAAAAGTTTCAGTGAAAACAGATGCGCCCCA